TTGTAACGCTATGTAAATATAAAGTAAAAATATTTATTTATACGTTTCATACTTACACATTACATACTTTTACTTTTAAAAATGGCCCAAAATGTAATTGAATAATATTTAATTGTTGCAGTAGATGGATTCACGAGGACTGTTCGTAGAAAGATATATTTGTTCTATTAAAAATGTGTCTCAAAGTTTATTTTACATGTTGTATAACTTATTCTGTCGAACTTATTATTTATATCCTTATATTGTTTATATTACCTATATTATGTTACAAATGTTTATTTTCATCATAAAAATCATTAATAATATGTTCTTGCAATAAAAAAAACGAAATAAATGTTATACTTAGTATTTTTTTGTATGGGGCATATTACTCATTTTTCAGCACTTTCGTATTTCTTTATTTTTAATAACAAAAAATGAATATATTCGATTCCAATTATACACAAATAATGGATAAAGGATGGAAGAAAAAGATCAGTATATAAAGTTATTTTAAATTAAACAAATAATTACTAAAAATCGAATTTCGCTTAAGTGTGGCGTATTCCCCCGACTTACCCTACGCGTTAAGTTGATTTATCTTATTACGCGTTTGATTCTGGCTGGTATAGATCAATGGGATCAACAGGATCGAAGTATTTACTTTATAGCTGCAATGCTTAAAAAAATTCTGATGCGCAATTCAATACACACACTAAAAATTGTTGATGACGCAAAATGTTTTTTTTATATAAAATATCTTTAAAACAGAATTTACGATGGACTGACTAAGTAATCACATGTATATTAAAGAATTGCTAAATGCGAATACATACAGAACGAGAGTACTTCGATCTACTCGAAAAAAAAAACCGTTAATTTTGTTAATAAATAATTTTGTTTAAAAAAGAGTAAGCAATTGTTTATAAATGCAATGGGCACTGATAGTATTAAGAGGAAAATGCAATAATAATGATAGGAATATAAATTTTTGATAATTCATTGTTTCAATATTAAATATCCGGAACGTGAATGTTTAAAAAATATTGTGCTCGTACGGTCATAATTTTTTAAACGTAGTTGTATGAATGACGATTGTAAATGATACCATGCATACAAATTTCTGATAAATTTTGACATTGATTGATATTGATAAAATTGGATAAAGTGCAGGATAAAATGCAAGATTAATTGTAAAAGATTTTGCTTCTTATATGTATATCTGGTGTAAGCAGTTGTATATAGTACTTTACTTCGTGATACCCGCATCGATCATAGTCGTTCTACGCATTGTAGGGTATTATGAATTGCTGTCTTTATCTACTAAAATCGCAGTAGATTTTAAAGTACCTACGATTTGCAGCGTAAGGACCCAATTCCGCTATCATGCTATCAGCTTTTCCCTGGTTTATAAGTCGAAATCAAATCAATATCGATTGATTTTTCGGACCATTTAATTTGATATCGGCTACATTTTCTACACTGAAAGAAAAGATTGGTTATTGCAACAAATTAGACGGAAATATGGCATAGCATTTTTAATTGGCTGTATAGCAACCATCCGAGCAGAAATGAATCTAGCAAATCTGATTTACCATCTAGGCATTAGACAGCATTTACTAGATAAGATTTCTAACTCGTCACTGGATAGTTACTAGCTAATATTTCGTAATATCAATAAATCTGTCTAGTGACTGCCTAGTAATTACGATGTAACACCTACATCTTATTTACTAGGCAGCCGCTAGACAGATTTCTTGACATAAAAAAATCTATCTAGAGACTAGCTAGTAATTACGACGTTATTACACCTACATGCTATTTACTGGGCAGCCACTAGACGGATTTCTTAGCACAAAAAATCTGTCTAGTGACTGCCTAGTAATTACGATGTAACACCTACATCTTATTTACTAGGCAGGCGCTAGACAGATTTCTTGATATAAAAAAATCTGTCTAGAAACTAGCTAGTAATTACGATGTTACACCTACATGCTATTTACTGGGCAGCCACTAGACGGATTTCTTAGCACAAAAAATCTGTCTAGTGACTGCCTAGTAATTACGATGTAACACCTATATCTTATTTACTAGGCAGCCGCTAGACAGATTTCTTGACATGAATAAATCAGTCTTCTTACAAGATTTCTTAATATGAAAGAAATTAATAAAAAAATATTTAAAATATAACATATTAATTATATAATATAAATCGCATGTTTAGAATTGTTTTTTTGAACTTACATGTAAAAAAACAATTCTAAACATGCGATTTATATTATATAATTAATATGTTATATTTTAAATATTTTTGTATTAATTTCTTTCATATTAAGATATCTTGTAAGAAGATTGATTTTTTCATGTCAAGAAATCTGTCTAGCGGCTGCCTAGTAAATAAGATATAGGTGTTACATCGTAATTACTAGGCAGTCACTAGACAGATTTTTTATGCCAAGAAATCCGTCTAGTGGTTGCCCAGTAAATAGGATGTAGGTGTATCGTAATTACTAGCTAGTCTCTAGACAGATTTATTGATATTACGGAATATGCAGCTAGTGACTAGCCAGTGACAAGTTAGAAAACTTATCTAGTCAGTACTATCTAGTGTACGAACACAGTTGGTGTCATTCGTACACAGTAATAGGTCCTTCTGACAAGATTTTTTATCACTTTACAATTTTCATTAATACTAGCTAATAACTAAAAAGTGACTCACTGTGTCTGGTACCGACTGGCCAACATATCAGGAACCGGTTCTTGAATTATTCATGATAATGTTTGCGATACGGTACTTAGTAATCGTGGAGAGCTTACCATGACAGGATAACTTTTACTTTATATATGTTGATTTGTGTTTGCTCTGAGGGAGGTTAAAAAATGAGCCGAAACATGTAAGCGCGTTTATTAAATAAAGAAGTTTCAAGCTTCATAAGTGTATTATTTGCGCAACGTCTTCTGCGCCTGACTCCTAAAGCCCGTATTCTTTCCAATTCTTTGATTTATAAGGAGGCTTGGTTAGTTTGATTTGTTATAAGAAAAAATGACACAATTAAAATTGAGATCAGAAACCATTTTTATTCTCATAAATGTCTTAAAGGACATAACTTTGAGAGAGAGGGAGAAATAAAATAAAATAAAAATTAAAAAACTTGAACATTAATATGTTGTTTTAATTAAAACATAAAAAAACAGAAACTTGCCCGACCCCCCTGGGCAAAGCGAATGGATCACTCGAGCAATGCGTATGAAATTTAAAAAATTAGAATCAGTCTTGGCAATCATCATAATAGTCTATACCAAATCCTCTATATGTAGTGCAGCCTGCATGGGTCCATTTGATGCAACGACTGCACTGGATCAGTCATAAACAAATCATCATACTGCATTGTAGCAAAAAATAAACAAAAATGAAATGTAAACAAACACGTGTCTTTCATACACTCGAAAGGTTGTCTGTCCCTCCGTATTCCCAGTATTTTCAGTGTAATCATATACCGAATAAAGAGGATAGATCATCCGTTTTGCCCCCACCCGCTTTGCCTAAAGAATCTACCTGGCGCGAATTTGGAAAGGTTAGAATAAGTTGAAGCACCAAATAAAAAATTTTAATCTGGAATACACGTTTAAAGACATAGAATTCTTATACAAAATTATTCACTCTGGTGTTAAGGAACAATTATAGATAATAATTAAGCTACGTATCTGTTTATGCGTAAGTGATTTGTGTTTGATAACAAAACATCACTTCGATAGCTTAGTGAACTGTTATACTTTATTGTGGATAAATGAGAGGTTATACATGTGTATCTCGAATTTTTGTTATTAACCGATAGATAATTATTATTATTATTATTCCGCGCTAGCGCCCTCCTACGGTCTCTTTACATTACTTGCAGAACATTTCGAGTATCGAACGACGCGAAAACCAAATATTGTACGAATTTCATTGACATACCGCGCGCCTTGATAGACTTGGACTATCAATAGAAATAATATGATTAATGAACTGTTGTTAACAATAAGAATTTCAATGACTTGATAAGCAACCGTTTGAGAAGAAACTGGGGAGTAACGAAATCATGAATATTAAGAACAAAGAAACTAAATACATTACAATACGCATGAATTACTAACATATATCATCTTTCTTATTATCTAAATTGTCCTTGACGGGTAATACAGCTAATTTAGCTGCTGGCCGTTTGTATGAACCCGCTGCTGTCTTGATCGTGCAGTACGAATAACACCATCGTCGCCCGGAAAAACTTTCTTAAGTCTTCCCCAGCATCCATTTAAAGGGGGATAGTCCGTCTTCGTGACAAACTACTAATTGTCCAACCTGGAGAGCTGGACCACTCATATCGTTTGGATCATGAGATATGGCGATTAATGGTCTTGAGTTGAGAATGGCTTCTATCTGGATGCTCAAAGTCGATGCTTCTTCAAACGTGAGTGGAGTGTCATGGGTCATTTTGTTGAAATGCCTCTTGAAAGACTTAACTGTGGCTTCCTAGAGACCTCCAAAGTGAGGGGCCCATGGAGGAATAAAATGCCACTTGATTTGATCCATAGATGTCTCATTTAAGAATTCTGTGCTGATGTTCCTCTTGATTGAACAATTTTCGAAGCTGTTCCAGCTCATGATTTGCGCCAACGAAATTGGTGCCGTTGTCAGAGAAGACATCCGCTGGTTTACCTCTTCATCCAATGAACCTCTTGAACGCATTGAGAAACGCATCAGTGATTAAGTTTGAGACCTCATCCAAGTGGACCGCCTTTGTCGCCAAGCAAACGAATACTGCGACGTATGCCTTTACGTTCTTACTGTTTCTGCGCGATCCTTCACGAACGTATATCGGTCCACAAAAGTCTATACCTACACAACTGAATGGTCTTGAGGGTGTGACCCGATGTATGGGCAAATTTCCCATTATTTGCTCCGAAAACCTTGGCCTATGCTTGAAACATCTTATGCAGCCTCGCAATAATTTTCTTACTGTACCGCGCGCCTTGAGCGGTCAATGTTTAAGTCGTATCGCGGCTAGAGTTGCTTCTATTCCTGCGTGCATAAGTCTTTGATGCTCGTGCTCGATAATGAGCCTCGTAAAATGTGATCGTTGATGCAATAGACATGGATGTTTAACGTCCGAATGTAGGTAGGAACGTTGGAGTCTGCCGCCAACTCGTATTATATTTTCTTTATCGATGAATGGATTTAATGGTTTCAAATTGCTTCGACTTGATATGATTCTTTTGTCTTTTAGATCCTTGATGTCCCTGTCGAACGTGAGCTCTTGATCTTTTTTTATTAATCTCCTTGTAGCTTCTTGTAGCTCTTCAACTGTCAAAAGTCCACATTGTTTATCTCTGCAGTTATGTATGAAGCGTAGACATGTGGCTGCCACTCGGACAAGCCTGTTGAAGGTAGAGAATTTGTTGAATGGATTGGTTTCCAAATCGCTAGCTAATGCAACCTTTGATCTATCACGTTCTTCGAGCTGACTTTCATCGTATTCGATTGCCTCATATTGGTCTTCTGGTAGATTTCCATCGTGAAGCCAACGGGATCCTCCCCACCAAAGTTGGGAATTTACTAACTCCTTGGCGCTGATGCCTCGTGAGACCAAATCCGCCGGATTTTGCTCCCGACATGCTTCCAGTTCTCGATCGACGTTATTTCCTGAATGTCTCCGATCCTATGAGCTACGAAGACCGGTAATTTCCTGTTGCTTGCTTGAAGCCAGTGTAGGACGATTGATGAATCAGTCCAGTAATATTTGTTGTCGATATTAATCTCTAAGGCGCTTACAACTTTGTCCATGAGCTGAGCCAATAATTGTGCTCTACAAAGCTCTAACCGGGGTATGGACAATGCCTTGACCGGAGCTACACGAGATTTGGAACATATTAAGTGCACCTCAATGGTGCCTTCAGCATTGATACTGCGCATATAGATGCAAGCTCCATAAGCACGCTCACTTGCGTCGCAAAATCCATGGATTTCTCTATGAATGTCCTGACCGCTAGTTACGATCTTTCGTGGTATGTTAAGTTCCTTTAACATTTGTAACTCTTCGATGTAATGCGACCATTTCGCTTGAAGATTCATGGATAATACTTCGTTTCAATTTAATTGCATCTTCCACAATTGCTGAATCATGAGTTTCGCAGTTATGATGATCGGGCCTAGCAGTCCCAGTGGATCGAATATTTGAGATATTTGTGATAAGATTGATCTCTTTGTATGCATATTGGGCTTTGTGTGATGTTTCGCTCAAGATCCGATACTGGAATAAATCCTTAGATGGATTCCAATTGATGCCTAACGTTTTTGCAGATCCCTCCTTGTCCAATTCTAATAACTGGTCCTTGGATTCAGATTTTGCATCTAGCGCTTGCTAGATCCCGTAGAATCTCACTATTGTTGGATGCCCATTTACGTATTTTAAATCCACCCTTGTTGAACATGCCTGTTAATTGATTTCGAATCTCGATTACTTCTTCCTTGCTGTTTGCACCTGTAATGAGGTCGTCGACATAAAAGTCCCTGCATGCTATTAATGATCCTTTCGGGAATGAATATACTTGCAACTTTGCTAGTTGTTGTATCACCTTCGTGGCCACAAATGAAGCCGATGGTGTTCCATATGTCAGCGTGAGTAGCTCATATGTTTCAATGTTGTCTGATGAGTCTTCTCTCCATAAGATCCTTTGTAGTGGTGTTTGTTTTTCCGTGATGCGAATTTATCTATACATCTTTTCAAGATCTCCTGTCAACACGTAATCGTATGTTCGAAAGCGTATTAATATTGACAGACCTTCTTGCTGTAGTACTGGACCTACCATAAGTGCATCATTCAGTGAAATGCCGCTTGTAGTCTTGCTTGAAGCAAACTTAAAGAGTCTGTTAATGATGAAATAACTCACTTCTACATGCCACATCACTGTGTCAGTAGTCTTCGACTACTCTCAATTTTGTGGTAGTACTGCTATGTTTGATGATACAGTGATGTGGCATGTAGAAGTGAGTTATTTCACCATTAACAGGCTCTTTAAGTTTGCGCATGTGCCCTAACTCTTGATATTCACGCATAAATTTATTGTATTCAAATCTGCATTAAGACTTTCATTTTAGTCTTCTTTCCAAGCTGTGCAGTCGTTGTGTCGCGATGTCTCTTGAGTGACCCAAATTGTTGAGAACGTCCGTTTTGATAACGTTATGATGAATCTACCGTCCGAGTCTCTCTTGTAAGTTTCGCCGAAGTGGTTTTCGCATGCACGCTCTTCTGATGTTCTTGTGTTCATCCTGTTACAACTTTCCTGCTGCCAAAACTTCGTAAGATTGCTATTTAGCTGCTCATTGACGGATAGGCTACAGGTAATGACCTTTGGATTTTGCATCGTTGCTAATCCGTCGGAAACGATCCATCCTAATCGCGTCTTCTGCCATGTTGGCTGATTATCTGCTAGTTTCATCCTGCCAATACACAATAGATCGAAGAACACCTCCGCTCCTAATAACAGATCTATTCTTGACGGTTGATTGAATTGTGGATCCGCTAGTACGATACCCTTTGGAACTTGAAGCTCATTTTTGCTTATTCCATTGGTTGGAATATCCTGTGTGATGTTGTTCATGACCAGACAATCTAGCTCCCTCCTGTAACTAGTCGTTCGCGAATGTATGACGATTGTCGCGATGCTTCTTGTTTGTATAGATTGTTTTCCGATTCCGCATACCGGAATATTCGTATCTCGTGAATCAAGTCCTAACTCCTTGCAACAATCTTTCGTGATAAAACAGGACTGAGATCCATTATGATTAACCGCTGCGTTGTTTGCAGTTACTGTTTTTGTATTTTCTGAATCATCAATCTCCTCCTTGCTATTGGAATCAGATTGATTCTTTGTTGCTTGTTCCAAATGTAACAATGTATTATGACGTTTGCTACATTTTCGACATGTTCCAGAGGTACATTCCTTCGCTATATGCAATGCGGTTCTTAGGCAATTTAGACACAATTTGTGTGACTTGGCTTCCTTAATTTGCTGCTGGATGTTGAAATCCAAAAAGTCTTTACATTTGTAAGTGGCGTGGTTTTCCTTCCGGCAAAACCCGCATGCATTCTTAGTGATAGCTACGTGAGCCGTAGTGCTCTTACTGCGCGCCGTTTTATCCTTGGACAATGGACCTGAAGTTTTTGATAAGCGCGATGTCGCCTCTAAAGCTCTGCATTGTTGATTCAAGAAATTAATCAACTGTTCGAAATCCGGAATCTTACCTCGCTCTATAGTAGTCTCCCATTCTCTGTATGTCGATTGGTCTAATTTGCTTGTGACCATATGTATCAATAGATCATCCCAGTAATCCGTAGGCCTTCTGAGAGCCGTTAATGCACGGATGTGTTTCAATATCGTATCCAATAGTTTTCGCAGCGTAGAATGATTGTCCTTGCTCATGGTTGGCAAATCGAACAACGCCTTTACGTGGTTTTCAATGATAAGCCCTGGATCGTCGTATCTGCTCTTTAGCATTTGCCAGGCTTCCTTATAGTTCTCCGCTGAAGCTTCTAAAAAACTAATTACGTCGAAAGCTTCTCCCTTGAGAGACGATAATAAGTATTGCATCTTCTGCACGTCGGGTAGTGTCGCGTTTTGCTCAATCATGCTGTGGAACATATTACGGAATGAGATCCATTCATCAAATTTGCCAGAGAAAGTGGGCATACTTACTTGCGATAATTTCAAGCTATCATTAGCTAGACTTGTCGTCTGTGACATAGGAGTACCTTCTCTTACCTGATTTTCCTGCGCTAAGGCTTGACTTGCCACTAATTCCTTTTGCTGAATTAAATTTTCATAGGCTGTCGCTACCGCATAGTATTTGTCCTCAAAGTTAGATCTTTCGTCACTTTCTAATGCAACAGCTGCCTCCTCGGTAACGAGTTCCTCGATATTTGATTGTACTTGCCCGAATTCGTTCCATAAACCGTGGAATCTGTCTGATCGTATGCGCAATTCGGTAATTGTCGCACGCTAAGCCTCCCGGCCTTCTATGTACGATTGCGCCCTTGTGCATTGCGCCTTTATGGTTGCACGCCGCTGCTTTTTACTTTCGTCCTGCATTGACATGTTGTGTCAGTACTTACGTTGATCTTGCGATTGTATTCACATCAGTGATCGTAACGAACTGCGTCGCTCGCTATAACGATCGAAAGCTCGCGCCAGAGGTTATGTCACGCTGCGTTGGTCGAATGTAACCTCTAACCCGCTGTTAGATGCTTTGACTATATACCTCTGGACTGCTAACGGCAGCCATTACTGGAATCCAAGATCTCAGAGCCATCAGGTCC